ATTAAAATCAAGAATAGCTGAACAAGTTTCAACTACTTTTCGTACTTAGATAAATAAATAGTAATCGATAAAAATCGATAAATGTAAATAAACGTTCCCATTGGGTTGCGCAAACCCAGGCTGCCTTATCTTGGATTGTTCAAGCGTTTCAAGTTCAGTATTTTAATCAATTATTGAAATGAAAAAATGTTGAAATTAAATATTTTTCCCAATGTCCCAACATGTGCTCTAGTAGCCGCTCGTCTGGGGAGCCAGTCTCGAGCACGTGCTGTACAAAGACAGACAGCTCAGACGGCTATAGGCTCTTTAATGCGGCTCTGAGTTGTCCACCTGGACGTAGCATGTGCTGTGGGTTGCCCTGTAGGCAGCTCAGACAATCTGCCCCATAAGCCTTGAGCTGTTGTCTAACTTTCGGCTCGATTCACTAGTTTATTTATTTAAAACTTTCGGGTTATTCACATGTGTACATATAGTATACGTTGCTCGAAGTTATGCTAAAAATAAAAATAAATAATTCAATTTGTTTATTTGCTGCGAATGACTGCACAGTCATGACTGTCAATGTGTGACTGTCATGTAGTATTTAATAGAAAAAGTAAAGCTCATATTATATTTATATTTATTTTTGTCTCAACCGCGGCAGGGCGATGTCAACCATTGGCCAACGAGAGACATTAACAAAATGGTCTGCCTTCAGCTGAAAGGGATAACGGAAATATTTTGCTACAGCAAGAAGAGAGCAAGAACGAGAACGGGAACGGGAAGGAGAACAAGAACAATAACTGGCCATGCCCGGATCCAAATAGCAAGCGTTGTCCTCGGCTCGAGAGCATAACAAAAATTCCAATAAATTCAATGCGACACAACAGACACTTGGGAGAACTTTAGGGCATGTCACAGCAGCTAACAGTCGCTCTGTGTGGGTGTGTGTGTGTGTGTATAAGCTGGGGGCGTGGCTGTTATAGAGCAGGGGCAGGGATCTAGTCGCTATGCTGCTGTTTGTCTCTGTCATTTTCTGGGAATGTGTGGCAAAGTTCAAACCTTTGACATTTTGTGTGCCAGCATGCATTACTCATACGCAACGGCGGCAGGCCAAGACGGCCAAGCGGGCCAAGAGGGCAGAATATGAAGTAACTTTATAGCAAATAGCTGCAAAGCTTTACAAAGTTTTCCAATATACTCGAGGGTTACTTATAAATTTAATGAAAATCTCAGCTAATAGTTTTGCACAGCGCATAAATAAAGTTGGCGTTGCCAGGGCGCGTCCGCCTTGAAGCTGTTTAAAAATATGCTTTGCCCAACTCCAACTCCCACCTCCCACATCCCACCGTCCACCACCCCCTACGCTCTTATAGCATGTGTCACAATTTATATGCAAACTTATCAACGTCGCAATGTCTCTAAAGCATCGTTTGCATGCATGTAGCCTGGGCACCAAAACGGAGAACACACACACAAAAAAAAAAAGAACAAGAAGACAAAAACGAAAAACTTCAATGTGCTGTTAATTCCCAGCTCTATGCAGGAAGTGCGACAGCTTCTCCTTCTGCTCTCCATTTACACTGCTGCTCCTGCTTCGGCGCTTGCTCCTGCTGCAGCAGCCTTTGATAGCAGAATGTGACGACGACGACGACGACGTCGACGCCGGCGTCTGGCACTCGGCACTTGGCAACATAAGTTTGGGGATTTTTATTTGCCGTCTGCCGGAAAATATTGCTCGCAGGCTAACACATGACAAACGCAGCCGTTTGTCAGGGCCAATATGGCACTGCATGAGGCCACGGACCGGAGGGCTGCCACTCAGACCAAGAAGCTCTTTAAAAACTTTTCGCTTTAAGTTCACACAATATTTGACTACACATAAAAAAGAAAAAGAAATTATATGTATAGCATTGTAATTATTGTTTGTTTCATTTTTACTGGGAAACAAGGCTGAGGCTTAACAAACTTTTGAGGCACAAAACTTGCTGCTGCTTTGTTGTTTGTTATTAGTTGTTGTTGTTGTTGTTGCTGTTTCTGTTGTTGTGTGTTGCTTGCTGTATTTGAGTTGTTTACCCCTTGTTCTTGATAATGCTGTTAACTTTTAGCTTAAGTGCCACTTTAAACAATTCATTTAATGCGCACAGAAGTGGGAAAAGGGATATAATTTGATATTAAGCTAATGAGAAGAGCTGGAGCTGGCACAAGGATGCCAGTTCTTTGAGCATAGTTGAAACCTAAGTAAACACCCTAAGCGCATTGAAAATCAAAAAAGTGGAATATATATGTAAGTTGTCTCTAATGGGCAAAAAATGGGAGTGCCAATGCCACCTAATATTTCTATTGTGTATTTAAAGACTTATATTTTAATGTTTTATCGAGTTGTTTATGTATGGGGTATCTTCTAGTCGGGCACATTTCGAGTACTTATAAGCTTAAAAACAAAGAAAAGGAAAAATGAGGAATATAGATTTATTTATTTGTCTGTATGTATGGATGTCTGTGTATGTGTATGTATGCAGGTAAGTATGTGCATGTTTGTATATCTAAATGTATGTATGTATATACATAAGATGTTTTTCCAGATTCTAAGTTTCTTTAAAATTATTATCAATATGAAAAAAAAGAGCCCGGGTCGATCTATCTAATCTAATAATCAATTAACTTTTTCGATTCTTCTTTTTGCGTATTTAAATTTTTCTATTTTAGAATTTTTCTCGGAATTGGTGAATATTTGAACAAAACATAGCTTGTAAGTGTATTTATTTTCAGGTCTGGCAAAAACTCTTTAGTTAGCTCTTTAAGTTTTTCGATGGCCTTTTCATTATACCTAATGAGAATTTACGTTACGTTTCTTTAATATCTGTTAAGACTTAAATATTTCCAATTAGGCATTGCGAACAAGAACCCTAATTAGAATTGAATTTGAATAACCACGCACCTCGATTGCCCATGAAGGCAAAAACATCTAAATGACTGGCAGTAGGCAGAATTTTTCGCCGCTAGCGATGTTGCTTGTCAGTTATGCGACAGACATTTTTGTGGCGAACTGAACTATTTTACATTTCAAATGAATGCAATGCGCATTACGTATACGCAACGTGTGTGCCAGCGTATCGCAGAAGGCAGAGCAGTGTTAATAGAGGAGCAGGGACGGGGGCCATGGCAAATATAGCACAGAATTGAGTATAAATAATGTAAAATTTTGGCAAATACGCGCTGTCATTTTGCATATGCCGAGCTCTCTTGTGCTCCTAATGAGGCGCAAAGGATTCACTGAAATGGGACACACACAGACATACACACACACACACACGTAGTCACATACACTTAGCGTCTATTTCAAAGGTGGATAGCATCAAATAAAGGGAGCAACAGAGCGTGACGAGACAGCGCCAAGATCTCGAAATGGCTGAAATCTCTAATTTTAACACTTTAAAAAGGAGATTCAATTTGATTACGCACACAGAAGCGTTCGCATTCAAATTGGCAAGCACATTAACATGCAAATGTGTATAACACATACACACGCGCGCGCAGAATGAGTAAGACACACAAACACGCTCAGACACTTAAGACACTTTAGATATAGCATTTAATAAGGATTACAGCAACGGAAAATTACGTTTAATGTTAAGTTTTTGCTTGACTGAATTTTCATTGGCTGCGCCTGCCTGTGCGTCTAACTTAGCTTCAGGGAAAAGTGGAAACTGAATTTCATCCTGGATGCGCCGCCAGGGATTTCTGTTTCTAAGCGAGCTTTAATGGCACAATTTAGATAAGCGTCATACAATGAGAGCCGAGCGCTCTGGTTACTCATTCCAGAATTCGTAATCAGTATCTGTGCGTATTGTTGGCATGATTGATTTTGCGGCTTTCAGTTGAAAATGTTCGTTGTTGTCTTATTTAATATCAATGTCGATATCTTGCACATACTCAAACCGTTCAATTAAGTGGCATCCAAATAATTTCAATGTTGGCTAAACTCGACAGCAATTTGGGCGCACTCAGCTGGCTCTTGGTCAGAGAATAGGCGAGACGAGGCGAGTTACACTAATGAGTACTTATGCCAGACACAAGCACGCATCAGCGTACATATATAATGTGTATGCGTGTATACATTGAGTAGACTAGTACTTGTGGGATTAAACAATCGATAGTGATGTATACACACACACACACACACACACACACACACACAAAGGGCAATAAACGCTGCCTATAAGCATTTTCACACTCTCAACATGGAATTGAATTACACATCAACTGCAGAGACTCCCACATACTACATATGTATCTGTTGCACACACAAATGTTAAACGATGACAAGTGCTTTGCGACTTAATGAACATAATCTCTAAAGTTGTGGCCAGCAACGAAATTAATTAACGATTAATCGATTGTCAATTGCATGAGATTAAGTATTGCTGAGAAGCTTACACAGATTTATAGGCAGATCGATACAAAATCGGAATATTCAAATACGAGCTCTGATCACAGCATTGCTTAAGCCATCAATTACAATATCATCAATAAAATTCACTATAGCGTAATTGTTGTGCACGATTTTTGGGTCTGTAGTTCTTATAGGTCCTGAGATCGATGTGTTCATACCTATGAACAAGTTGATAGAGAGACAGAAAGAAAGATAGATTGATAAATATATAGAAAGATAGATAGATAAATAGATAGAAAGATAGACTTACGATAGGTAGACAGGTATATGGATAGGCAAACAGATAGACAGATAGACAACAGACAGGTAGACTGACAAACAAACGGTAGATTATTTATAACTTACGTAGAAAAGACGAATAAACTAGATAATAATCTGCTCTTTATCACTTGATGTTTATGACAAATACTCAAAACTGGCCATGTATTATGGCCAACTATATATTAAAATGCAATTGAATTTGAAGCACCAGCGTAATGGTGCCTAATAACTGTGCATACAACGACTGGGCAGCTCTGCAGTGGATAGCTCATGTGCATAGTAAATCAGTTGAGAATTCGCAGCAATGACGTGCGTTGGCCTCTGTTTAGGGCTGTGCTGTATTCTGGCCGTCGGACTTAGCCAAAACGGGAAAACCGAAGACGACCAAAAGTTGCTTTTCGCTGTTGTTTCTGAGCTGCATCGAGAGCTTGGCATCGTCAATCACCTCGTCTTCTCTGGAAGTCAGAACAATCCCCTTGTGCAAGAATCTCTAATGGAAAGCCTTAACGGCTCGGTGATTCTGGCTGGGCTGGAGATCGGGAAACTTCATTATAGTGTTATCAATAGCAGGAATGTGGCTATTGCTTTTTTCAACGGACTTGGCGATCCAATACTGGGCGTAGTGCACAGTTCGTTAGGGAACCTAAGGAGCATGTGGATCGTATTTGTGTACAAAGTCAATGCAAATTTTTTAAACATCTCGAACTTCACAGATATTTTCTTTAATTGGTGCTATACGAAGCACTTCCATAATACGATGTTGGTGATGGAGCACGAGATCTGGACATATGAAGTTAAATCGACCCTGAAAGTGTTTAAGTTTTCTCCAGGCTCCATTAGAGAGGCCATAGGTCTCCACATATGCGATCAGAATAGAGTGCAAAAACCAGGATCTTCGGTAACTCTATACCAAGATTTTCCAGATGTATATTTGGTGAGTTTTCGTGGTATGCAGGCGGAGTTTGATGAATATTATTCTGGATGCTTACAATTGCAGTACAACTCATCAAACGGAATCCGTCTGGGCGGTGAAGTCGGCATTCTCTTGGCGACATTTATGGAGAAAATTAAATGCTCTATAGATATTCGGCGAGTGTCATTTGATGAATATATGCAGAGAGTTTCGCTAGGCAATACCGGAAATACTCACATTGACATCGGAGCGAATATGCTATCGCACTTTGATGGGTCGTTGTACAGCCCGGTGTGGAAGATGACACAGCTATGCCTCGTGTTGCCCAACGAATGCCGGAGTTTCATTGAGCATTTCAGTGACGTATATGAGGCAAAGCTTACAGTTATGTTTTTCATGGTGATTTATACTCTTTTGAATGCTCTGATCATGTGGATCATCAATCCGCGGGCTCCACTGGGCAATATCCTGTTCAATAGTGCAAGACTCACAATTGGGCAGGGCGTGGCAAACCGAGCCTTTCGTCGCCTCCGACTTCCTGAGAAGATTATCGAGATGTGTACGCAGATCTTTACGCTTCTAGTTCTCAGTATTGTAACAGGAGCGGTGACAACAGCCCTCATCACAGGCGTGCGTAAGCCCGAAATTGTGGACCCCGAAACGTTTTTGGAGAGTGGACTGCGAGTTATGGTCTACTCTAACCAAGTGCAGGACGAGTTTGAATATTTCCTGCCATCGATTGCGAAACGATTCCTCTACGTGGACAAGCGTGAGCGGGATCGCCATTTATACGCCCTGAACGACAGCTACGCCTACCTCATGCTGACTCACAAGTGGCAGCTATTGGAGTATATTCAGCGTCGTCTCCACAAACCAAAACTGCGTCTGGCCACCGGGAAGCTGTGCAGCATTGAGCGTTACATCAAGCTTTATGTGTGCAGCGGCGCATGCTACGCCCCAGCCCTGAAACACTTTGCGCTGACTGCACACGAGTTTGGGCTAACTACGGGGTGGATGCAACAGGGATTGCGTCAGGCGGAGCAAGCTGGGCTTGTGGCTAAGCAGCCTTACGAGCCACCCACTATGAGACCATTGCCCCTTAAGTTTTATCAACGAGCCTATGCACTATACGGATTCATATTAGTGCTCGGTCTAATTGCGTTTTTGATGGAATGCCTCATTGCATATTGGCGAACTCATAATGCTCGAATCGTGACTTAAAAACCATGATGTTAGCTCGAGTATCAGACATATATATAAATATGTATAGCACATGTAAATTTGTTTTTCTTTTTTGTCCAATTAATAAATCACTCATTGCTTCAGCTATTGTCATCGATTTTGAATTCGATTTTTAAATTAAATGATGGAAAGCTGTTTTCCTCTTATGAATAAGTAGAGCGCATTTTAATGAGTAAATGGGTTTAATTTGGTAGCTCTCTATGTAAAAAGCCTGTGTAGAATATAATATACTAGCTGGCCCGGCAAACGTTGCATTGCCCTCTATATTATTTCTAGGTAAAAAATTGTTGAAAGCTATGTTGTTCAGGTTGGGATACAATCTAATTAATTTATTAATCGGATTTTCATTCAAGCACCTTGTGGTAAACGACATTCTTCGTTTTTTGGTCAGGTGCAAGAACGAATAATGCGGATGGTTTGCCAACACGTGAGCATGCCACGTAGAATTGACCATGAGAAAAACACGCATTTTCTAGATTGAGGCCACAAATAGTCAATGGCAATGTCACTTTACCACTAAGGCAGCACAAACCGGGCGTTTCACCAGCAAACTTCAATGCGCCACAATGTTGGCAAACAACGTCCATTGGACCAATGCAAACTAAACGATTCAAGCTGTAATCAATGGTGCAATCATATCGAAACGCTGCTCGATTNGAAACTGTCACTGTTGTCAAGGCTACTGAGTATAAATGGAAATTTGAATCTTTAGGGAAAAAACCGCGTTTTTCAAGTATTCGTCAAATTTTTTCAGTATTTTAAAGATCTACTGACCTACTCGTGGCGGAGACAAATACAACAAATCAAAAACCATGAAAATTGGTCCAGCAGATCTCGAGTTATAAGTGCTTGGACACTTTTACACAACTCTCTTTTATATATATAGAAATATAATAGTAGAGGCCAGAGCATAATTTCTTCGTTATAAACTTATATAATCTTAATAAAGTCAAACTGGAAAAACTCCTTAATTTCAAATGACAAGGCAAGCCCTATAGTATAATTGCCATTTCTATTCAATGTCCAATTGTTACGCAGTGGCACAAATGGCTACTAATATTGTTTATTTAACTCCAATGTATCAAATATAACAACTTTATGCCATATATATGCTACACAGTTGCAGCTCAATAAATTTTTATGAATAGTGCGCCATGGTTGAAGCACCAACTTAATGGCGCTTAATAACAATGCAAACAAGCTTTGCACAGCCTTCAGCCGGCTACCCCAATACGACAATGAAACAGTCGAGAATTTACAATCAAGAGGTGTTCAAGTCTGGTGGATGGCCGAAGAGCAGCTGGATCGATTATAATATACTTACTTTGTAAGCTAGGAATATGTCAAGTGATTGATATGCCGATCTGTGTTTGAGACATTCCATAAATCGGTATGTAATCCTGAGATTAAATGTTCTAATGTTGCCTAGCATAAATTATTGAATTTTTCGTATCAATAGAGAACATTAAAAAAAAAAAAACAATAAGAACATCTATAGAAAGTCAGAAAGAAAACTAAATAAAACATTATACATAAGGCAAGATATCATTGAAATCAATTGAATGTACTGCTTGATAGACTATCGTCAGAGGTATATAGTAGGTATGTATAAATAAATATATGTATATTCATAGTATGTGTTGTTAAATAAAGTAAGCAAAGACTTTAAATGTCTTTATGAAGTCTGAATATATTGCAGTAAATATTCAGCAGCTTATAGTTCTTTATGACTGACAGTGCACCCATAATGCTTAATATCATTTTAAACGATGGCATATTATATTCATGCACACGGATCGAGAAGCATTATCCATTAAGTAAAGGACGACGCTCTGTCAGCTGGTTAATTGCTGACTGCTGCCCATTGAATGGGCTCGTCTACTTGCCGTAAGTGCATTTAAATGCACAAGCCATTTAGCAAAGAGTTCTTGCTTTAAAATGCAACTGCATTTTAATGCCTTTCATGGCGGCCATTGACAGCCAGTGGACTGCAACATTTTAATGCAGGCGCACATATTGTCACACGAGCATATGGAAATACTTTTAAATGTGATCTGTCCTTGACAAGTCATAAGAGCATCCCATTAGTCGCGTCTACTGCATGAGTAAGCAACATATTTGCACGAGACTCTTGTTAGATAAAGGATCTCTTTCAATTGGAAAAGCCTAGCTCAAGCAGATATTCAGTGCTCGTTCGCTTGATAAAGAATAGAAGCTCAACTCAGCTTTGAGTTGTCAATTGTAAAATAAATAAAAGTAAATATTCTGTTTTTCATTTAAGAGACAGTTTCCCAAGTCATATAGAATGAGCAGTGAAATCAGTGAATTTCATGACTAAGATCCACTTAAGGATTGTAGAAATAAATTTATGTTTATTACAAGCTCAAACAAAAAAATAAAAATAATAATAATAATAATAAATGAATATAATATTGATTCAGTCGAAAACAATATTTTTTTAATAATTCATAATTAAATGTTTTTATATAATAATATTTTTTAATATTATTTTTGTACAATAAATAACAAAATATTATAGTTTTCAGGCTGTCATTTGCTGTTTGAATGTTGAATTTATTCAAAATATATTTGTGTATATTATTGTGCTATGAATATGAATCTTAACGTTGCTCATCATCATCACATAAACCTTATTTCAAATGAACATTATGTATAAACAATCGTTAAATGCTAATAAAATTTTTTTATTATAGTCTATTAAGTATCTCAAGCGAAGCTCAATCGCTTCTGTTGCAGTTAATGAATTTTTTCACTTACGTAAGTATTTCTATGAAATTAAATTCAAATTGATATAATTGACAGGCTATACATCATATTTTCATTTAATAGCTATCAAGCACAGAAATTTGGCATTCAAATGCGGTTTTTGTGGGCCTTTTCGGCAGCTCTCACGTTTTGTTTTGTTATGAATAAAAATGTGCGCGAAATATCTAAAACTTTATTTCCAAATTGAAAAAGTTCCATAAATATAGAGATACATACGGAAAAAGTGGATGAAAAAGTTGTGAGCTCGTTGCGTTTTTTGTTGTTGCATCTTTTTATACGTACATATATATGTATATATATATATTTTTTTTGGCTATCCAACTAAACTCAATTTAGTTTGTGTGTTTGTATGTATGCGTGTGTGTGTGTATGTGGTTGAGTCTCGTGGACGATGGCGGCATAAAGTTTACTACTTTGTGAAAATTTCATGTCTGTGGCACTCGATAGTGGCCGCAAAAATGTATATATAAATGTATATATATATACATACACATACATACACACGGAGGCAGTCAGCAGCGGGCTTTAACTGTTAGCCAACTTCTGTTGAGCTGAGTTGAGAAAAAAGTTTCGCATAGATTTAATAGAGACTCTGATTGTCGATGCAAAGCCTAGTTGCTCAGTGCGCTCGATGTGAGCTGGCTTAAAACTAGTTATCAAAAGTCGTATATCTCTGGCCTACACTGCGGGAAATTCGTTGTTTGAAAGATATATTTCACATTCTTTTTTTTTGCAGCTCAGATTTCAATTTGAATACTTGAGTGGGTTCTGCCTGTTCAGCATAATCCATATCCATATATCTGTTCATGCATTAACTTATAGACAGAGCCCTCGCTTCCATTTGCATAATTAAATAAACCCGACCATTAATAATCACGCAATGCTATTACATAATTGTAGCCAGTTATAAAGGGATTAAATGGGATTCACATTCATTATTAATGTGTCCATTAGCAAAAATAATTCGACTTACTAAATGGTTGAACTAAATGAATTTTGACATCACTAATTAATTTGATGTGCTTTGATTTATTAAACAAACATTGCAAACACATAATACCACTCAACGTACCCAAAAAATAGAGCGGGTGTTGCGGTCCAATGGCTGTGCGAATGTTTTGTAATTGAAATTCTTGCAAATTCGAGTTTAATTATCCGTGTCCATTGTCCAGAGCAATTGAAACCTTCAGTTAGCTTCTGACGTGTTTGGCAGACGCTCAAAAATGCGCTAATGGGAATTTAACGTGTTTCAAACACACACACATACACTCAGCATATGTGGGTGGCACACATCGTAATCAAATTAGATTCTATATCCCGTTGCAGCGGGACAAACGCCGAAGGAAATTGCGCGGGCTGAACTTGAGGGGCTTGAGGGTGCGGTGTTAGCCACAAAACCAAATATTGCTATTACACTTGCAGGCACGGAATTTAATTACACGCGCACACACACACTCACACGCAGCCACAGTACATGCATGGACGCCATTGTGGTTGCGTTTTGGTCAGCATTGTATTTTTATTTTTTTTATTTTTACTTTTTTTCCATTTTCCCATTTGCACCGAAATTCTTATTGTGCTGTGGAAATTAAATGAAATACTTGGTAAAAATTCGCTGTAGTTAAAAAATAGCTGCATTCATTATTTAACGCTCTTCTGTACGAGCTGAAATTATTTATTAAATTTTATGGTCTAAGCTTTACATTCGTTTCATCTGGAAAGCAATTTGCAGTTGGCCTTAGCTGCATTAGCAGCTGCCTCGAATCGTGAACAGAAAGTCAACTCTTTTGCGAGCTAATGCTGTCTGACCTCTGGGCACTTGGCTTTTCTCTTCATCGCTATCTTCGTATCAATCTCTGGGCCCTTGTGCGCCGCACCACACTAATGCAATTTGCGCAAATATCTTTTATTCATATTTAATCCACTTTATGCCCATTCTGCTCATGCCTTGGCCTCAGACCTAGGCTAGGTCTAGCTGCTGCGTCATGGCCCACCTCGCGCAACCACCGAACGCTCGGTCCACCCTCCCATGGCGGGGTCCTTGTCGACATGGCTGGGCTCCTTGGGCCTGCATCGGGGCCCAACTGACATCTGCAGGGCCATGTAATTGGCATTCGAGTCAAGTGCAATTTTGCAAGCAACTAACTGCTGCCGCCTCCACTAGCGCCGCTTCAACTGCTGCTTGTGCAGCA